CCGGTACATGAGTAAGATTGCCTATCACAATATGACTTTTACCATGCTGTATGGAGCGGCGAAAGTAATATATTTCTGCTGACCTGTTCGGTTTTTCATCATAAAAAAATGCCGTAATGTGGCGAAAAATCGGATTGACTGATCAGGAGCCATACTTTCTGCTTATGTTTAAATGAAGCAGCCTAGTTATGTTCCGATGGTTATAACCTATCCAGGCCCCAGTCAAGGATCTCGGAACTCGCGGTTCCAACGTGAAAGACGTGAAGTTGGAAAGCGTTGATATATCGATAGGTACAAAGTGAGTGTTTATAAATTTACTCTTTGCCTTTATTCATTTACTTTTTACCTTTATCAATTCTCTTGGCACTAATAACTTGAAACGGGCCATTTAAAGGGCTTCTGTGCAAAGGTGCAATACCGCAGAAGAGGCAGGGACTTTTCACTTTTCCAGACTAAAGTGGAGAAGCTTCTGGGTTGGTGGACTAATCCGAAGAACGGTCAGGAAACCCCCCCCCCCGCTACCCATCCTCCCCAATCTACGTACGATCTTCCTGAATTCTCACAGACACCCGCCACCTTTCCGAACTTTGCTGGGCTGTTTCAAAAAAACCTTTCTTGAGCCGGCGTTTGGGATGGAGGGAGGAGAGGGGGGGGGCATTTTGAGCGCCTGATGCGCGATCGAAAAAGGAAAATTGTGGGAAGTCAACAACCGAATAGTTCTTTGACAAAGGCTTGTGCGACCCGCCTCCATCCAGCAACCAAGCGACCCCGCCCTCTCGCTGGAGGTTCCCAACGTACACCATGCCGTAAGGATAGTCCTTCTATTTGAATTTTTTCTTCTTTGCATGAGAGTCTTTCGAATGCCCCTCCCCCAAAGTTTCTATAACCTCTTTGTCATAGGCTGTGTTTTAAGACAGTTATTATCATGTGCGGATTTGACCATGGCATACGGGCGTCGATACGGTCTTGTAGGTCGCAACGGTATAGGAAAGACAACGCTCTTGAAGATGATCTCAAGGTATTGCGAAGGGTTATTGCTGAAAATGCTTGCTGAAATGACTGTGCGTTTTCCAGCGGGCAATTGCGGATACCATCAGGAATCAGTTTGCTTGCCGTAGAGCAGGAAGTTGAAGGTGATGATACCAGAGTACTGGATGCTGTGCTGGCTTCCGATTCACGACGGCAAGCGATGATCGACAAGGAACATGTCTTGCAAGCAAGACTGAACAAGTAAAGTTCTGATTTTATGGCTCTAGTGATGCTCAGACGGGGATTCCATAGTCCTAGGAGTAACTCATTTCTTCTTAGGGAGAACATATCAGAAGCGGAAAAGAACAAATGGCATGATGAGTTAGCTAAGCTGTATTCTGAAATGGAAAATCTACA